ACTCGGAAAGCAGAAGTTCGAATACTGCATGCTGCTGACTGGACAGGGCCACGTCACCACCAACAAAGGCAACAACACTCCAGAAGTAAAGGGGAGTGTTGGAAACATATAGTTCGCGCTTCTGATGTGTCGAGCGCTATAACATGAAACGAAGCAGACTCACAGCGAAGCAACACCGAGTCAACCAAGCGGTTGACAAGGCGACAACGGCAGGAGGTTGAAGCGAAGGTCAAAGGTCAGAAACCTTTGACTTGACAAAGGCAGCACGACAGCAAGGACAGATAACTGAGTCGCTATTGAGCAGTTACCTAAGTCGTCTCTGTATCGAACCGCATTAGCAGTTACAGTCGCAGTTATTACAACCCTTCATATTCTCTGTAATCATATAATAGCCCTGTATCTCTATGCTATTACTCAACTCATCTTGTTCTCACACACCAGTGCTAGGTGGTTCAATCAGTCTTTCATTAAGATGCTTCCGCCAATACATTACTATGAGCTTTAGTCTTTGAAAACGATCCTAAGGGCCTTTCTCAGCCCAAAAAGTATAGCGATTTCGAACCATGTGGCGCGGGAACCCGTTTCAAACAGGTTCCCGCCATTTTTATTTCGATTGTTTCTGCCTGCATCGGCCTCGACCGGACAATTGCTGGTGTCGATTCGATTCTTCTGACTCCTCGTACTTGGTAAAGTCTGCTCCTATAGCGTACAGGAATGTCTTTCATAAAAGTTCATATCTCAACACTAACAAGACCCTTTTTGTCAAGAATAAAAGTGTTGGTTCATTGATGTGGGTTGGGGTACACATAGCAAACCCTAACATTTGTACCCCCTAAAACAAGCCTCACTACAGGCTACAACATTTGACACACCCCTATAGCCTAAGTGAGGGGTGTCAAGCAAAACCAAAAGTGTACGGTCACAAGACCAGTCACAAAGAAACAAAGCTCAGGGTGGATCACAACGTCACCACACACTCCGAGCACAAGCAACAGGGGCCACAAGGCCAGTCCAATAGTTCACAAAGGTGTACGGCAAGTGTACAAGCAAAGCAAACAGTAAACTTTAGCCTACGCAAGACGAGAACCAGAGTCAACAAGACCTAACTTCACACAACACTTCTGGTGGTCACAAGGCAGAAGTGCCTTGGTGAAGATGTCTGCAGTGTTGGCCTCGGACTCCACAAACTTGAAGCGAGCCTGTCCACCTCTTTGCAACTCTCACAGAAGAAAGTATCTGACACCAATGTGCTTCACTGTGCTCTCCAGTCGCGGCTCTCGACACAAGAGAATCGACGCCTTCTTATCATTGAACTGCGGAGATAACTGCTCGGGAGCTAGGCTACGGGCTAGGCACGTGTGCTCGTGTGATCTCTGCGTTCGTTCACTTAGTCGTTTCCTTGTATTCACGCTGCTTGCTAGTTCACTGAGAGAATTGGCAGGAGTTTCACTAGGAAAACATGATAATAATGGTAGCAACAACATTGGCATCACAGACTACTTCAGTGCTAGCTAGGCTGCTGGTCGACCTCCAGCGCAGCACGGTCGACCGCGCTCTAGCGCAGTAGCGCTCGCACCGCTCCAACGTTGCAGAGTAGCGTTGCAAGTCCACGGTGTGCCAGCACTGCAGCAAGTCGGCTGCACAGCGTTGCACCCGCAGGACAACGGTGCACTTGCTTCGCAGGTGCGTGCAGCTGGTTGGCGCTCCACACCTTGTCACGAGCACAGCACAGACGCCTGGCAGACTCCACGCCAGCGACTGCGCCCACCAGCCACGTCGACCTCGGGATACCACCCCCGAGGTCAGCCTCGCAGACTCCACCGTGGCGACATTCGCACACGTCGCCCGGGTATTCCGGTCGACCGGGCAACCACGCCTGGCCGACCAGCGCAGTCCGTAGCCGGCCACGCATGCCCGGCGTCCCCAGTCCGACATCCAAGCGCCCAGGACTCCTTCCGAACCCCCAGGTCGGCGTCCAGACGCCCAGGACGCCGAGCAAACCTCCAGAGCGGCGTCCCTCCTCCTAGGACGCCGACCAGACGCCCAGGTCGGTGTGTGGGCCCCCCGGGACGCCCAGGTTGGCGTCCGGACCCCCAGGACGCCGTGCAGACGCCTAGGTCGGCATCTGGCTTTTCAGAACGCCGTGCAGGCGCCCACGACGTCGACCAGGCGCCCGGGTAGTCGTGGCGACGCCCAGCTCGGCGTCCAGCTTCCCAGGACGCCGTCCAGGCGTTTGGGACGCCAACCAGGCGTCCAGGGCGGCATCCTCCTGCTCGGCGCCCTCCAGCCAGGCGCCCTCCAGCTTGGCGCCCTTGCAGTGGCCCGCGTGCCCACTGCTGCAGGTCGGGTGCAACCCCCGCACATCCGACCACAAGGTTGGCTCTGCCCAAGCGAGGACGGGGCCTTACAACACTCCCGTTGACATGAACAAGGTCGATGCATAGCTCGGCCGCTCACCAAGGTCGGCGAGCAAGAAGGTCAACCAACGCAGCTCCTGTGCTGCCATAGCACCAGCGTAGATCTCAGCCTCAACGGTAGAGGTCGAGACCAAGGAGGAACGCGTGGACCTCCACGAAACAGGTCCAGAACCCAGACTGAAGCAGTACCCCTGGGTAGACCTGTGAGTCTCAGAGTCGTCAGCGTAAGAAGAGTCACAGTGACCAGTAAGTACGACCGACTGCTGCCCTCCAAAAACCAGCCCCACGCCTGATGTCATCGCTAGGCCTCACAGCTGCCGTCCAGTAAACAGGACGGTGTCTCCCTGACGCAACAAATCGAGCAAGGAAATTGAGAGGGAAGGCGAGGTCCGGGCGAGTTCAAGTCATCAGGTACATGAGGCAGCCCACCAGGTCTGCGTAGGGACCACAAGGCTCAAACGGCTCGTCAGGAAAGGGTCGCGTAAGTTTGTGGCCAACAGCAAGAGGTGTGCGCTGTACTGTGGAGTGTTGAAGCCCAAACCGCTGAAGGACCTGCTGCACCATGTGTAACTGTGAGAGTGTAATAGTGCGAGCAGCTCTGTCCCTGGTGATCTGCAGGCCAAGGTAGTGGCGCAGCTCACCTAGGTCAGTGCACGTGTGTCTCTTCTACGGTTCGGACTTCATGTCTGCCAAGGCAACCCCATCAGCAGTAGCAAAAACCAGGTCATCGACGTAGACAAGAACAAAGAACAGTGTGGAGCCACGACGAACGAACAGCTACGGGTCGGCAGAAGACGGCTGGAAACCAAGGCCAGACAAGGTAGAACGAAGAGTGTCGTGGCACTCACGAGGAGCCTGACGAAGACCGTAGACCGGCCGCCTCAACCTCCACTGGGTCCCAGGAGGGAAAGCGCCAGTGAATACAGAGGGACGACACAGCGAGACCTCTTCGTGTAAGCTACCCTGAAGGAAAGCAGTGGAGAATTCGAGGGAGTGTAACACGTAGTCTCTCTGTGCTGCTACGTGCAATAACACCCGAAGAGTGGTCATCTTCGGGGTAGGCACTAAGGTCTGAAAGAAGTCAACTCCCTCGCACTGACTGAAAGCTCTAGCCGCGTAACGCGCCTTGAAGATCGGAGGAGATCCCGGTGGCCGCTTCACCCTGTAGATCCACATGCCATTGACTACGTTCGCCCCAAGGGGGTGAACTTCGTCGGCGTAGGTGCCTGTGGATCTGTGGGAGGCCATCTCTGCGTCCATGGCAGCTCTCTACTGAGAGGCCCAAGGCCCTGACACTGCCTCGGCGTAAGTGCGAGGAGTCGGTATGTCAAGGGCATCGGGGTCTCTCTCAGGGGTGAGCAGCATGGCACAGAGATGAGGGGAAGCGGCTGCCAGGAACTCTAGCTCAAACTGCCTGTCCTCTAGGGCGTCACAGCCAAGGGCAGACTCACCCCCGACGGCCAGAGGACTGGTAGGAGGAGCAGCCACAAGACCGGTGGTGTAGTCAAGGCGGCGAGTAGAGGCAAGCCTAGTGACTGCGGCAGTAAGAGCGGAGACAGAGGACAGAGAGGCATGAGGGTGGGTAACAAGAGAGTCGAGAACACGAGAGAGAACAGGACGGTACGTGCGGTAGTAGTCAGTAACAGGAGTACAGAGGGAAGTAGTGAGGGCCGACTCAGGGGGAGAAGGAAGCACAGACTGAGACAAATGAGGCGGACTAGGGAGGTAGTACGAAGGTCAGTGAGAGCGACAGGGGACGAGGGACAAGCACGAGGAGAGCAACGAGAGGGCCAGGCGTCCAAAGGAGGAGGAGACAATGGAGTCAGAGAACGAGGAAGAACAGCTGGAGAGGAGTTAGGAGGAGGAAACGTGGGACCGTAGACAGGAGGAGAGGGGGAGGAGGAAGGAGAGGGAGAGAGGAGACTGAGGGTCCGAAGACCAGAGACAGGAGGAGGAGGTGGCGGCTGCTGCTGCTCCTGCTGCGGCTGTTACCTCTGCTCCTCCAGCGAGGCTGCTCCAGGTGCGACTGCTGCTGCTCCCGGCTGCTGTTGCTGCTGCTCCTCCTCCTCCAGCCGCTGCAACTCTCGCTCCTCTCTCTCTAACTCCAGCTGCTCCTCACGGGCACGGCGAACACGAGCCTGGTGTCGGGTCGGGTAGGGGTTGGGGGGGAGGAGTAGTGGCCAGGGCTGTGACAGCCCCAGGACCGGCCTCCACAGCACCAAGCGCACCACCCCCAGAGTCAGCACCAGCAACAGCAACACGGGCAGGCTCACCAAAAACCACTGGGGGCGCACCCGCACCCCCAGACGTAGCACCCCCAGAGTCAGCTCGACCAGCACCAGCTCTCGGAAGAGTAGAGTTTCCTGCAGCCACGGGCTCAAATCCAACTCCAGCACCCCAAGAACCATGACCCGGGTCGCACGCTGAATTTCGTCGACGCGAAATTCGGAGCCTTGAATTTTGCCGAGCGAATTCCAATGACTGAAATTCCATAGACGAGAATTTCCGCGACAAGAATTCCGCCGACCACCGACTGTAACTCCCGTGCGAATTTCGTTGACTTCGACACTTCGCTGCCGAGTTTCAAACCGAACGCGACCCGAGATCGATTTCGCCAAACTGTCCCCAATCTGTCCCCAAACTGTCCCCAATCTGTCCTGACAAGACACATTCGGGACACTTGAATCAAAAGGTCTTCAGTTCGAAACTCGCGTGCACCATAACCAGTGCCTTAGCAGAAACTGTCCTGAATCTGTCCTGAGACACTTTCAGGACATATTTGAAGGTCACGAGTTCGAATCCCAGCGCAGACATTTTGTTGCTCATGGCAGCATTTCCTTCTAACACGCCCCCTTGCTGTCAGGCTCACACTGGACCAGCCCGGCTGCTGCACAACATCGGTTGAAGGTTGCCTTGTTGAGCCGCTTCGTTAAGAAGTCCGCGGGCTGCGCCGTCGTAGGGATGTGCTGCAGCTCTTACTTCTTCGTGCGCACCATGTCCTGTAGCCACATGTGGCAACAGTCCACATGCTTCATACGCCCCTACAGCCCGCCCGCCTGGGTGAGCTGCACCGCTGACATGTTGTCGACATACAGGGTGGTGGGGCCACCCTTCTTGAGCAGATGAAACTCCCGCAGCAAGAACCTTAGCTTGCGCCCCTCCTTTCCTGCTTCCACCGTAGCCACAAGCTCGCTCTCGGTGGAGGAAAGTTTGATCGCACCCTGCAGCTTCTTGGCCTGCCATGAAATGGCAGCTCTGCCAAGCTTGAAGAGGTAGCCTCCCGAGGACGATCGGTTCTCCTTGTCGCCCGCATGATCTGCATCCGCGTACCCCACGATAGTCAAACTCTCAGGACCTCCCTTGAAAAGCAGCCCCATGTTCGGTGAGGCAGCCCAGTAGGAGAGTGTGCGGAATAGCTCATGCCAATGCGCATCCGTCCTGAGATGTGCACCTGCTGCAAGGTGGTCGGCCATGGTGCGATCGGCAAACAGCTCAGCACCCTCCATGACAAAGCTGGTAGAGGAGAGAGGGGTGATCGTCTGCTTCTTCGGTGGCGCCCCCTTGAAGAACCGCTGCTGCACCTTCGCCACGTATGCATCCTGGTGTAGGAGGAGTGTCTTGTTGGGGTGGTCATGCACAATCTGCAGACTAAGATAGCCTTCCGTAGATGACATGTATTCCACCACGAGGAGACCTTTGTCCACCACCTTGCCTTCAGGTCCGGTTAAGGTTACTCCGAGGTTGATGATGATGCTCCTCAATCCCCCTTCCTCCTCATCAGCCTCATCCAAGTACTCCACATCATAGTAGATGTCCGTGCCATAGGCACCTCCAGCAAGGAATGCAATGCCGTACATGTTGTTGCCATCAACCGCATCCAAGGCCATCATGGTGGATGTGGGAAGCCGAACAAGTGGCATACCCTTGTTGGACCTGCTAGAATGACATGGGGGTGGGGGAGTGGGCTAGAGGGGCGGAACCGTGGGTATGGGGTCCTTCCCATGAGTTGCCGCCGATTTCAGGTCCGCTGCCTCTCCTTCCTTGTCTTCATTAGCTGCACGACGTTCATCCGCAAAGGGGCCAACCTCTGGTCCCAGAGGTGCCAAGCTAGCTGCTAAGGATGGGCAGAGAGCTGGCGGTGCCATGGTTGCATTGCTGCCCAAAGGGTCAACCGAACGATCAAACGATTGTTTGCCCCCTTGCATGGACGGCACTGGGATTATGATGACGGTACGTGACGGCGGCTGATTCTGCTCAGGGCCATGGACCATCCCAAGAACCTCCCCCTCTCGCACGTCAGGCAGCGGAAGCGTTTGACGAGTGAGTTTGGCTTCTTGGGAGGAGGCGCTCAACGTGTCCTCCCCTCCTTTCTCTACGTCCATGCCTAGCATGACACTGTCTGTGGCTGTCTACTGCACCGCACCAGCATGGTCATTCTCAATGTGAGTGTGTCGCAGGTTGAGCATCGCCTCGGTCCCCACCGCATATGTTGTGAGGCTGGCCGCTTCGTCATTCTCTTCCGGCGCGCTTGACACCACCTCAGCAAATATCTTAGGCATACCATTGCCTGCCACCTCAGCCGCTGTGCCATTGCATGCCGCTGTAGCTGCTGTATTGTTGCATATTGCTGCAACCACCGTGCCTTTGCATGCCGCCACAGCCGCCCTACCGTTGCATGCCGCCGCAGCCGCCCTGCCGTTGCATGCCGCTGCAGCCGCCGTGCCGTTGCTCGCCGCTCCACCCGCCAAATTGGTGCATGCCACTACAGCCGCCGTGCCGTTGCATGCTGCTGCAGCCCCTGTGCCGTTGCTCGCCACTCCACCCGCCATATTGGTGCATGCCGCTTCAGCCGCCGTGCCGTTGCATGCCGCTGCAGCCGTTGCACCGTTCCTTGCTGGCCCCGGTTTCAGGTCAAGGTAGTGAAGGCGATGGCGGTATCGTGCCGTTGCAGCCACTTGACCTCCTGATGCGATGATGCGAGTGACACCTTCCTCGGTTTGCAGCTTTGCTCCCTTATCCAAGAGCTGCCCAGGGGAGACCAAGTTGGCCTTCATTCCTGGCACAAACAGGACATCATGTAGGGTCACATGCAAGCCGTTAGTGCCCTCCAGTAAAACCTCACCAGCACCGGCAACTTTCTGCATAGAACCATCAAACCCTTTGACCGATTTCGTTGCAGATGGGTCACGGATCACCGTGAACCACTCCTTGCGGTCGGTCATGTGTTGGGAGCATCCTGAGTCAAGAAACCACAAGTCCTTGTCGTCGGCCAGCAACTTAGCAGCCGAACATGCGACAGTGAGCGACACGCCCTTCCCGTCTCCTTCAGCTACGTTCGCGGCTGCCGCAGACGTTGTATCTTTCTTCTTGTTGGGGCACTTGGCAGCCATGTGCCCCTCCTCATTGCAGTTGTAGCAGCGCCCCTTCAAGGGGGCTCGCTTCTTCTCCCACTTGCCGTCCTTCTTCTTGTCCGTCTGCTCCTGTCCCCCTTTTCCTTCCTTCCCGTTGACCCCCGTTGTAGCCACGATGGTGTTGACAGCGCCCGCAAAAGCAGATGCATCGCTGGTGATCTGCTTGTAACTCTGTTCGATGGATAGAGTCTGCTCCTCGATCAACACCTCGCTGCACACGCGTTCCACCATCATGTCAGGGCTGGAAATATCGAGCTTGCGGCGAAGAAATCCGTACTCCAGTGGTAGGCCCTTTAGCACGTGGGCGGCAAACGTGGCCATGTGGACCTCCTGTCCAATGGTCAGCAGCTCCGCTCGGATGGTGCGGCCCTATTGCAGTAGGATTCCGCCGTTTCATCATCTCCCTTCCTGAGTTGGGCTAACTGGGTGTGAAGTAGGGAAGCATGGAGGGCATCACAAACTTGATAAGTAGACAAGATATATGCCCATGCTAGCTGCTCGGCTTTCTCTTGCTGAGAGAAACCAGAGATGGACATTCGGATGGGTGGAGAAACACATCGGTTCAGCACCATGAATGCAAGCATTTGGCCCTTTGTGTACTCCTCTCGTTGCAAGAGGTTGTTTGGGGCCGGGCTTGGTGCTGTCCCGTTGCAAAACTGCCACAAATCAGCACACTGGAGCTGAGGTCGGATGGCGCTGATCCACGCGGTAAGGTCGTGCCTTCCCTCCAGCAGCGGCGTCACAAAGATGTGTTCAACTCCAAACTTGAATTGACCGTAGCTCGCCCCGATCATTCCCGTGTCAATGGTCGGTGCAACAACTCCTCCGCCAATGCCCAGGGCATTTGGAGCTTTGTGCACAGCTCCTCCTACACCAGTTCCTCCTTACTGGCCACTCGCAGGTGCTTGCTCCGCCGCGCGCTCCCGAACCATGCGTAGTAGACGACCGTCCACAATAAGGTCGACCTCATCATCACGCAAGTTAGGGTGGTGCTCACGAACGGACGCCTCCAGCTCCTGACGGGAATTCAGGCCCTCAGCACTCGTTAACCACTCCATGCGCGGTCAAAACGAGCGTCGGCCACACCAACGTAGGAACGAAGTGACGGGAGGACGGAACAAGCTGCTAGTTGGATCGACGCAGATAACGCAGCTCTGATACCACGTCAAACTTCACTACTATAGCAGCTTGATAGAGCTTGAAAGCACAATTCCAACGAACCAAAGATTGCATGAAATGGTCCACTATAGCCAGAGTTACACACAAACATAGCAATGATAATGACTTGGTTAATTTATGGTTTGTGCTCTCTGGTTTTATACTAGGACGCAATACAAAATAAAAACACACAAGAAAGTGTCGACCCGGGTCGCACGTTGAATTTCGTCGACGCAAAATTTGGTGCCTTGAATTTCGCCGAGCGGATTCCATTGACTAGAATTCCGTAGACGAGAATTTCCGCGACAAAAATTCCGTCGACCACCGACTGTAACTCCCGTGCGAATTTCGTTTACTTCGACACTTCGCTGCCGAGTTTCAAGCCGAACGCGACCCGAGATCGATTTCGCCAAACTGTCCCCAATCTGTCCCCAAACTGTCCTCAATCTGTCCTGACAAGACACTTTCTTGACACCTGAATCAAAAGGTCTTTAGTTCGAAACTCGCGTGCACCATAACCAGCGCCTTAGCAGAAACTGTCCTGAATCTGTCCTGAGACACTTTCAGGACAGATTTGAAGGTCACGAGTTCGAATCCCAGCGCAGACATTTTGTTGCTCATGGCAGCATTTCCTTCTAACAGAGCGGGGGTCAGGAAGAGGGGGGGAGGAGGAACCGGGAGACCTCGACAGGGGTACCTGACGTAGTAGGGGACGAACTCCTCGAAACGGACGTAACGGGAGCCGAAGAACCGGTGAGAGGGAGGGTAGTAAAAGGTGAAGTCAGGGGACTCCTTAGGGAAACCGAAGAAGACACAGGGAACGGCGCGAGGCGAGAGCTTGTCCGCGGAGGTGTCGCGAACAAGAGCCAAGCAACCCCAGACATGAAACCGCGACGCAACACCAGGGGACCCAGTCCAAAGACCGGTCGGTAAAACCTCTGGCTGAGAGACACGCGGCCAGAGGTTCAGCTGGTGAGCAGCGTACCGAACCGCATAGGGCCACAGAAAATGGGGGGCACGGGCGTGAGTCAATGAGGTGCGGGCGATCTCCATGACCAAGCCTATGCGGCGCTCAGCAACCCCATTCTGCTGTGAGGACTCTGGAAGCGTCCAGGACTGACGAATGCCCTGCTCGCGACAGAATCCAGCAAGAAAGCCGGAGCAAAACTCACCCCCGTGGTTGGAGTGAAGACAGCTGACACAACAACCACGAGTGTCCTCTGTGGTAAGCAACCACCTGATCAGCATAGAAGTCACCTATGACTTCTTTGCCAGGGGGAACACTGTGGTGTAGCAGGTGTAGTCGTCAACGACCACCAGAAAGAAACGCTCACGCTCAGGGCCAAGGCGAGGGGCGGGGCCCCAGACGTCCAAGTGGATTGTCTCAAACAGCTGGGTGGCCGGACGAAGGAAGGAGGATTGAGGGGTGGCGCGCAGCCGACCCTCAACATAGGGACCGCACGGTGGTGCAAGGGACGCCGGGAGCGACGGCAAGACAGACAGGAGGCCTTAGACAAGACGCGGACGAGTCACAGCGCACAGACGAGTAAGGGACGGGTGCCCCATCCGGTGGTGCCACAGAACGGTGGGGTGGGCAAGCGACCGGCAGGAGCAAGACGCAGCAATTGGACCAGACGCGGGAACACGACCAGACACAGCTACCTAGGGGGACGCGGTAACCTGGTGAGACGCAAGGACCAGACGGGGGGAAGGGACAGGGGCCGGGGGCAGTAGCGGCCGCTGCGGCTGCTGCTGCTGCCGCCCACCGGGGCCAGTGTGAAGAGTGTAGAGACCGGAGCCCGGCTCAGCAGTAAAGGTGGCAAGAGGCTGGAAAGAGGCCCCGTCAACACACACTGCGGTCTCGCTAGAGGGCTCAAACCACACACCCACGTGCTAACTCACGAGAGGCCTCATGCCCACCAAGTTCCTCGAGAACGAGGGGACGTGGAACCCGGTCAGAGACCTAGAGTTGAAGAGGTGTGAGTGTCGTGCGGTCGCGGAAGAAACAGTGCGAAGCTCCAGAGTCTAGAGTGAAAGACAGCGAAGCGTCCCCCGGAGCAGCTCCTGGACTAGTGTCTACACAAGTACCTACACTAGCAACACATCTCAACAAGACTAGCACCTAAGCTAACAACACTCGAGTAAACTGAGTCAGAAGCACTAGAGTCAACAACAGCATACATAGCATAAGGAGCTCCTAAGAGATCAACTAATTGAGAAGCTGACATGCCCCACAAAGCAGAGCCGTACGTCTGAACTAGAGGAAACCGGTCAAGGGCAGGGCCACCAACGGCGAAGGCCAAACGGACCGTGTCAGTAAGCTAAGCAAAGCACTGACCAGGAGGGTGGGCACGCCGACAAGGCTGGCCCCGGCGAGCACCCGTCAGAACCTGATAGGTGCACGGAGGGTGAACAACACCTTGCTGGAGCTGACGCTGTCTTGACCCCGAAGCCTGCTGCTGCCACTGCTGCTGCTGAGGCTGCGGTGAGGGGAGAGGCTGCTTCTGCTGCAGCTGCTGCTGTCGCTGAGTCAAGTACCACGCCGCTGCACCACCCACTGCAGTCGGCAGACTAGGGGGCGACTGACAAACCCGGGCAAGGCCACCACCAGCTCCAGCAGGGGAGTCACCAGACCCTGCACTCCCGCCACCACCAGTCGCCACGCCACCCCCACCACCTCCGCCGCCGCCGCCGCCTGCACCCTGACCGCCCCTCTTGCCACCCCTACCCCGAGACAGCAAATAAGTTGTAACAGCAGTTGCGGTCACGTCAGTAGCAGCAGTGGCGAGAGAGGCAGCAAAGGTGGGCAGCTAAGGGACAGTGCACCCGTAGAACAGTGGAGGGGGCACAGTACCAGAGGCAGAGACTATGGAGCGAAGGTTGCTCTCGACGTCCTTGGGTGCTGACTCAAGGACCTCAATAGTGAGCGCGCTAGGGTGCTTCAGAAGAAGCGTGTCACGAACCGAGGCAAGGCGGTCAGGGGGGCTAGTAGCGATGAAATAAATAGTGATCGCCATGGGGGGAGGAAGCGGTGCAAGCTGTGCCTCAGTGCAAGCAGCGCAGTAGCTAGAATCGAGCAAGCGGAGGTGAGCAATCAAGTTAGCAGAGCGCTCAAATGAGGCGAGGTCAGGAAACAGTTACGGAAGGAACAGGCGACCTAGAGAGACAATGGTGGGAGTAGCGTAGCGGGCCTTGATCGCAGTTAGGAACTCACTAGCCGTGCGAACCTAAGTGAAGTGGGTCTCCTCAGACTCAGGGAGGAGGCTGCTGAGGGCAATGCAGGCCGCAGCGTCACGCGAGGTCCGCGCTGTGAGGTCAGCACGCTGGCGGGCATATCGGTCTCTGTCGGCAGAGCTAGCGTCAGCGCCTAAGGGTACAAGATCAAGGGGCCTAGGGATGTCACCAGAAGCGTGCTCCCACAAGGACTCGCTTGCTTGCACCTGACTCGCTAGGAGACTCTGCGCACGCTGAAGCCAGACGGAGAACTCGAGGGGCCTACCCTTGGCGTCAAAGCGAAGGACCCTGAGGGTCGCCACAGTGGAAGCTGAAGCTACGAGGCCGGCAAGGCGCAGCGGTAGGCGCGGCAGGAAACTCAGCGGCAGTCGTGGGCTTGGCGACAAGCATGGCAAGGAGACAGGCGGGCGGGCAGGTAGGACTGGCGTGTGGGCGGGCGGGTGGAGAGGCGCGCAAGCGTGCGCAAAAGGCAGGCGCGGCGGACGGCTAGGGCGGGGCTCGTGGCGGGCCTAACTAGCAGGCTCGGCGGGCGGCTAGGTCGGGGTCCGCGGCTAGCCGAACGGGCAGGTACGGCGGGCGGCTAGGGCGGGCCCGCGACGGGCGCGAAAGGCAGGCGCTGCGGACGGCTAAGGCAGGCCCGCGACGGGCGCAAAAGGCAGGGCCCTCGACGGACCTAACGAACAAGCGCGGCGGCAGCCTAACGAGCAGGCGCGGTGGCGGCCTAACGGGAAGACACGGCGGCGCGAAGATAGGGCCCGCGGTGGGCATAATGGGCAGGCGCGGCGGCGCAAAGGCAGGGCCCGTGGCGGGCCTAACGGGCAGGCGCGGAGGCAGCCTGGCGGGCAGGCGCAGCGACGACATAACGGGCAGGCGCGGCGGCGCGAAGACAGGGCCCGCGGTGGGAAGATTGGGCAGGCGCGGCGGCGCAAAGTCAGGGCCCGCAGCGGGCCTAACGGGCAAGCGCGGCGGCAGCCTAACGGGCAGGCGTGGCGGCGACCTAACGGGCAGGCGCGGCGGCGCGAAGACAGTGCCCGCGGTGGGCAGAACGGGCAGGCGCGGCGGCGCGAAGGCACGGCCCGCGGAGGGCCTAACGGGGCAGGCAAGGCGGCTTAACGGGCACGCGAGACCGGTCGCGAACGAGTGGGACACGGAACGGGAGAGTGTCGACAGCTACGGCAGGGCTACGCGACAGAACGGGTGAGGCGCGTCAGGCTCGGGCGAGAGGAACGGGATCCTACATGATCCTAACCTAGGTGATACAATGTCAAGAATGAAAGTGTTGGTTCATTGATGTGGGTTGGGGTACACATAGCAAACCCTAACATTTGTACCCCCTAAGACAAGCCTCACTACAGGCTACAACATTTGACACTTTCTATCTACCCAAACATCCGTTGCTCCTAGATGTTTGGAGATCTCTTTCACCCTCTCTAAATCCTCCTCTTTTTTAGCATAGACAGCTCCCCAGCCTTGCTGCTGGTTATTACTACGATAAAGGAATTACGTGTTTCTTACGTACGCCTTTGTGTTGTTGGTTTGTGTAGACCATATTTCTAGCTGCTCTAAGCTTTGCTTTACCTCGTTACTACCTTTATATAACCATAGCGAAAAATGCCACGCTGTAAGGAATAATCTCAGATTCCTTACTGGGTCACACTGTACGCATACAACCCCTGTTTTCGGAAAACCAGGCTCGGTCCGTCGACCTCGCCTTCCGAACCATCACCGCGTCGCCTTCGGGTTTTCCAACCCCGAACCTGCACCCAACCATCTCGCGACCCCGCTAGCATTGCCATATTAGTCCTAGGCCTCGTTGTGAGACGTTGGAATCACTTCCGCGTTATTGAATATTGCGCACTCTTTCTTTCACAACTCATAACACTTGGTATCAGAGCCTACTTTCCTAGGTTACCCTCGCGTTTCCGAGGTAGTTTGTATAAGGGGAGCGATAGACTTGGTGGGCTATAAAGCGGTTGGCCTGTGAAATAGATACGATAATTTCACTCCGACTACGATAGCGTTTACGCCTTCACCAAAGTCGTAAAAATCGCTAGTCACCCCCTGCCCGTTCGACGAAGCCTGAGGCACATGGAAGGCCAAGTTTAACGAGTTCATGCAACAGTTCCGTGCGATGCAGGCCAACTTGCAGGGCATGACTGCAGAGATGGAGCGCCTGCGGAAAGAAAATGCCGAACTACACCAGGCGCGTGGTGAAGCGCGCCAGGAGTCGCCTGTCGTCGAGGACGCAAGTAGCAGCTTCACGCCAGACGAGCGGGTCTGGAGCGAGTTAGAAGGCTCCATGGATGCGGACGATGCGAGGCAGGCACAATGTCAAACTCATATTATATAGCTTGTTTAGGCTATAGTGGGGTAGACACTATGGGGTACAATTTCCTAGGGTTTCCTACTTGTACCCAACTTTGTGCTAGTTCATTTCATTCCTCAAATCTCACATGGTATAGAGCAGGTTCCCTCGTGGGAACTTCCTAGGGCCCACCACTGAACATCCATTTTTTTTTCCTGCCCTGAGATCGAGTCGCTCCTGACCGAGGCGCGCCCTGTGAACTGCCCTCCCCTTAGCGACCCGTCACGCCGCCCTCAGCGGCCCTCCCCCTCTCTCACGGCCCCTCGCGACCCCGTCGCCGCCCTCCTAGCGGCCGTCGCGCCGCCCTATCGCGGCTCCGTCGCCGCCCTATCGCGGCCCCGTCGCCGCCCTCTTGCGGTCCCCTCGCTGCCCTATCGCGGCCCCGTCGCCGCCCTCTTGCGGCCCCGTCGCCGCCCTATCGCGGCTCTGTCGCCGCCCTATCGCGGCCCCGTCGCCGCCCTCTCGAGGCCCCGTCTCCGCCCTATCGCGGACCCGTCGCCTCCTTCTCGCGGCCCCGTCACCGTCGTTCGCGGCCCCGTCGCCGCCCGTACCAGCCCTGCAGCCGCCCCTCGCGGCCTCGTCGCCGCCCTCTCACCGCCGCGTCGCCGCTCTCTAGCGGCCCTAATCGCCGCCCTCTTGCGGCCTCGTC